TAGAATTCAAAAATCGATAGTGTATTTATTTTATTTTTTGGTAATATGTCGGGTTTTTTCTTACTATACTTTTATCTTCTTTTTTGGATCTAACAAAAATTTGAGGAAAAAGTGGCTTAAATTTACACATAAAAAATAAAAATACACCTTTTTTCAAACAAAAGTTGCTCAAATTTACAAAAGAAATAATCTTGAGTTGTTTCAAATAAAAAAAATATCATAAATGCATTTCATTTAAACCCAATTCATGTTATTTTAGATTTGAAACAATTCAATTAAAAATTTGTCAAAAACAAACTATTTTAATGAAATAAAAAACATTTACATAAATAAACAATATTGACTTTTGTAAAACTTATTTTTTTAATTTCAACAAAAATCACATTGAAAACAAATTAATATTAATTAATTGCAATATTTAAACTTATAATCTTTAAAAATGATTACATGTCTGTTATCAATAAAACAGATAAGCTCATTGTTAATTTATTAAGAGAAGGGAAATCATTTTCTTTTATTACCAAAACACTTCATGTATCACCAAACAGAGTTTCTTATAACAAAAAGAAAATTGAAACAATGAAGAGTTAATTCCAAAAACTATAGGCAGACCTTCAATTATGACACAACAAAAAATAATAACTTTGATCAAAAAAACTTCTATTAATCCAGAATCAACGTGTTGTGATTTGGCTAAATGTATAAATGTATCAAAATCAACAATTCAAAGATACAGAAAAATAAACGGGTTTAAATATGGCAAACTAAAGAAATCTCCATTTTTAACAAAAGTTAACATTAATAAAAGATTAATTTTTTGCAAAAAGGCGGTACTAAAGAAAAATTATAAAAAATGGAAAGAGGCTATTACAAGTGATGAGTCGAGATTTGGATTGTTTTCTGATAATGGAAACTATTGGTATCACAAAAGCAGGGAAATGAGATATAACAGAATAAATTCATTTAATATTGGAAATCAAACTTTACTTATTAAAAAGAACAATAAGATGTTTAAATCAATGTTTTTAACACTTCCAAAACACAACAATTCACTGATGGTTTGGGGAGCAATCGGAAATAATTACAAATCACAGTTGTTACTATGTGACAACAGACTTAATGCAATTGGCTATCAACACATGCTTGAAAGTAATAAAGTGTTTGATGATATTAGACGAGAACGCAACAAACAAATAGTCTATTTCCAAGAAGATGGTGCCAAGCCACACACAGGAAAAACGACATTGATTTTTTTTAGAGAACAATAAAGTGAGATTGACTGGGTGGCCTCCTTCAAGTCCGTATTTATCACCAATTGAAAACGTTTGGTCGATACTTCAAAATAGAATTAGAAAAAAGAAAAAAATATTTTAAAAACAAAAAGAGTTTGTTTAGAGTGCTGAAGAAAGAATGGGAATCGATACTAATGGATACAATTAACAAT